ACGTAAGTAAGAAGTAAGTAAGTAGTAGAGAAGTAGAGAGAGAGAGAGTAGAGAGAGAGAGTAGAGAGAGCGAGTGAGAGAGAGNAGAGAGAGAGAGAGAGAGGGCCTGCAGTAGATCTTCAGTGCTTCAATTTTATTAAGTGAAAAATTTCTTGAGAAGTCCATAGAGATGAGTAAGGGTTTGTGGGGTACAGAGAACATGGGATTGCAGGAGAGAGATGATTGGGGGGTGAAGATTCTCTCCAAGAGAATTTTTTACGCGTTTAGTTGGAATAATTTTTTTAAAACTTGAGGTAAAAAAGAGGACGAGGGGAAGATTTAACCTTCAATTGGAAATGTATAGAGATGTCTTATTTATAGGAAAATAATATCTTAAGAAATTAATATAACGACCAAACTGTGAAAGGAAAGTAATATAGAAAGTATATATTGCAATTATTATTTATGGGAGGGTGCGGTTTGTATAGAGAGCTTAGGCTCTAAACAATCAAATTAGAGTTTGCCTTCAAATAGTATCAAGAAATGTAGTTTCAATATTGAGAATATTTGTAATAGCCTTAAAATTTATTTTCATCTTTATTAACAAAGTTTAAAGTTCAAAAAACAGTGTAGATCGATAGATCTATGAAAACTTGATAATCTTGAAATTTGATGGTCCAAAAATGTGTTACAAAATATTTTATTTTCAAAACTGAAAATCTATTTTTTTTTCATGTCCATGCATCTTGATGTCGAGATGATCAATTTGAGGATATTTGAGCATCAAACAACCTCTTCTAATGAAATATTTGAGGTAGGTTCAAATTTGATTGTTTAGAGCTTCGGCTTTATGTAAACTTTTCCCTTCATGGGAAGGGTTGATAGAGTATCATTATTTTATTAATGGACATAAAGAGTCTTTTTAGAAAAACCTGAGTCTCTTCATAGATACTCTATCAAACCTTCCCATAAATACTGATCGCAATATATGCTTTTTATTTTAACCCGATACACAATATACACTTTTTTTTCACACTCCCCTTCAAATTCAAGATGTAGAGAGCAGTTGGAGTTTGAACACTAATTGCGGAAACTAGCAGAGCAGCTAGAGTTTGAACACTAATTGCGGAAATTAGCAGTTGGATCTTCAAGTGCATACACAGATTGCTTGATCAATAAGCATCAAAAGCCGAATCAACAAGCCTCGAGAACAGATGGCTTTAGGAACTTTTGGAAAAGATCAAACAGATCAGAGAGTCGAAATACAACTTAGCATAGAGACAGATAAGAGAATTGAAATACGACTCGATAGAGAGACAAATCAGAGAGTCGAAACACGACTCGGTAGAGATGACAGATCAGAGAGTCGAAACATGACTAAGTAGAGATGACAGATCATAGAGTCGAAACACGACTCAGACATAAATTGCACCGACTAGATGAGTAACATATTCGTCTTGAAAATTGACAATAATAGAAACTAAATCGTAGATACCTAAACCATACCTAAACTTATAATAAAGTATAGATACTCTATCAACCCTTTTCATAAATACTGATTGCAATATATACTTTCTATATTAACCCGATACATAATATACACTTTCTTTTCACACAAACAAGCCAAAAATATATAGAATGTGTTGTTTATATAAAGTTACAACTTTATTTGTAGAAGTATGATTGAGATGTTCTACATCATCTATTTTAATTGGATAGTGTAAATTTGATATGTCTTTTAAGAAAGTGTCAAGTGACGTGTCTAAATATTGTAGATTAGTGCATTTTAATTCTATGAGGTGTAACATTATATAAAAATTGATTAAACGGTAGATTCCGGGAGGGAATATGAGGGTTGTGGGGAAGGCTAAGGTGAGACATTTACGTTAAAAATAATAGAATCCTTTTGAAGTGTTGTTTAGAAATGAGAATGTATTGTAAGTGTTTAGCGTGAGATATTGACAAGCAAGGGAATGCTTTCATTAGACACGGGAAACTTTGAAATATGTCTCCTCTGGTAATTTGTTTATTGACCCACCATGGGAAAGTCCAAGATTTAAAATTAGGAAAAAAGACAAAAAAAAAAGAAGAGAAATGTATATTCATATCCTCCTAATTTTTATTTTTTAAAAAATATTATTGAATATATTTTTTTTTTCTTGGGTAATTAAGTGGGGAAGACAGACCCTGTCCGTTTTTTTAATAAATTAGGGAGTTACATTTTGAAGGTGTTAATTGGGGGTGTAAGCGGAAGGAGTAGATACCACGATGTGGTAACTGGTCGTGGAAAATCTCTTTGAAACATTATACATATCAAACTACAATTTTTTATTTTTTCTAAGATGTGTGCCTTTTTTACAAGATCTAAATTTGAAGCCATAATTTATATGATGATTTCGGATATTGAAGATCTGAGGCATTTTATTTTATTTTCCAAACTACGACAATCGATCTTCAAGATCTAAAGTCATCTCTAAGCTTCAAACAATAAAGTTTTAAATCAAAGACTTCAATAACATTGACCTCTATCCTAGAACAACCAAAGTCTTTTTTTGAATCTTTGGCTTTGGACCACTAGTTTTGGAGCTGAGAATTATATCGCGAAAAAAAGATTTGAAGCCAGGAGATGACTTCAGATCATGAAAGTTTGAAGTCATAATTTTAAAATATGTACTTTTAGTATTCAAGATCTAAAGTCATCACATAAGTTATGGCTTCAAATTTTGAATATCTGAAGTGATTCGTATTTTAAAACAAAAATTTAAAATTAAAAATTCAAAAAAGAGGTAAACATAATATTATGTGGGAATTTTTTTTTCCAATAACACAAAGTTTAGAAGGACATGAGCATAAATTTCCCGAAAAAACTAAGCGGTGACTTTACATAAGGAAAATCAAGTTCACTGTTTCTCTTTATATCTACCGAATTTTTATTTTTATTTTTTAGGTAATTTAAGATAAAAATTCCATCCTATAGCAAATTTCCCAAATAGCAAAAACTTCCGTATGAGTTTCACTACCGTAAATAAATAAATAAATAAATAAA